CCACAGCTTCCTCATCCATTCATCTGCTGATGGGCATCTAGGTTGCTTCCATGTCCTGGCTATTATAAACAGTGCTGCGATGAACATTGGGGTGCACGTGTCTCTTTCAGATCTGGTTTCCTCAGCATGTATGCCCAGAAGTGGGATTGCTGGGTCATATGGCAGTTCTATTTCCAGCTTTTTAAGAAATCTCCACACTGTTTTCCATAGTGGCTGTACTAATTTGCATTCCCACCAACAGTGTAAGAGGGTTCCCTTTTCTCCACACCCTCTCCAGCATTTATTGCTTGTAGACTTTTGGATAGCAGCCATCCTGATTGGTGTGTAATGGTACCTCATTGTGGTTTTGATTTGCATTTCTCTGATAATGAGTGATGTTGAGCATCTTTTCATGTGTTTGTTAGCCATCTGTATGTCTTCCTTGGAGAAATGTCTGTTTAGTTCTTTGGCCCATTTTTTGATTGGGTCATTTATTTTTCTGGAGTTGAGCTGGAGGAGTTGCTTGTATATTTTTGAGATTAATCCTTTGTTGCTTCGTTTGCTATTATTTTCTCCCAATCTGAGGGCTGTCTTTTCACCTTGCTTATAGTTTCCTTTGTTGTGCAAAAGCTTTTAAGTTTCATTAGGTCCCATTTGTTTATTTTTGCTTTTATTTCTAAAATTCTGGGATGTGGGTCATAGAGGATCCTGCTGTGATTTATGTCGGAGAGTGTTTTGCCTATGTTCTCCTCTAGGAGTTTTATAGTTTCTGGTCTTACATTTAGATCTTTAATCCATTTTGAGTTTATTTTTGTGTATGGTGTTAGAAAGTGTTCTAGTTTCATTCTTTTACAGGTGGTTAACCAGTTTTCCCAGCACCACTTGTTAAAGAGGTTGTCTTTTTTCCATTGTATATCCTTGCCTCCTTTGTCAAAGATAAGGTGACCATAGGTTCGTGGATTTATCTCTGGGCTTTCTATTCTGTTCCTAATCAACGAATACAGTAAAGTTGCAGGATATAAAATTAACACACAGAAATCTCTTGCATTCCTATACACTAACAATGAGAAAACAGAAAGAGAAATTAAGGAAACAATACCATTCACCATTGCAACAAAAAGAATAAAATACTTAGGAGTATATCTACCTAAAGAAACAAAAGACCTATACATAGAAAACTATAAAACACTGATGAAAGAAATCAAAGAGGACACAAACAGATGGAGAAATATACCGTGTTCATGGATTGGAAGAATCAATATTGTCAAAATGGCTATACTACCCAAAGCAATCTACAAATTCAATGCAATCCCTATCAAACTACCAACGGTATTTTTCACAGAACTAGAACGAATAATTTCACAATTTGTATGGAAATACAAAAAACCTCGAATAGCCAAAGTAATCCTGAGAAAGAAGAATGGAACTGGAGGAATCAATCTGCCTGACTTCAGACTATTCTACAAAGCCACAGTCATCAAGACAGTATGGTACTGGTTTGACTTTTAACCAAGTTTCTTTGTTGCTGGTAAGATTGGTTTAAAAAGGGACAGAAAAAAGTGTTGACCAATCAGAGCCCTAATCACATAATTACTGTTGATTGCTGCTGATCAAATTATACCATTTCCCAGGTATAAAGCTAGAGCCATCAGGACATGGGCCTGCATTTGGAGTCCAGTTGCCAGCAGAACAGTGTCTCTCTGGGTCCTCGTATAGCTGCAGTTGGAATCAGGATTTGTTGGTAGAAGGTAGGTCCCTTTACTTGTGTTATTTGTGCTTCTGAGGGAAAGAGTTATTTTCTTACCACAAATTTTAAAAAGCAACTGTAGTTACACTTGTACACACACACATATAGATGGAGAGAGATAATTATACACTGGGATATTGTTTCCTTGAGTTTCATGTTTAAACTATTTTCCAACTTGTAGAGTTAATTTTCTTCTTAATATTTTCTTAGTAAATTGCACAGATTTTAAGGAAAAAGCACCTGATTTGGTGATCCAATGGGAATAAGAGGGTTTCTAGAACTGGGAAGGGGTGAGTCAATTGGAAGGGACTTGAAAAACATGTGGCTTCCCTGGTTCAGACAGTAAAGAATCCGCCTGGAAGAAAGGAAGGTAAAAAGGAAACCTGGGTTTGATCCCTGGGTCAGGAAGATCCCCTGTAGAAGGCAATGGCTACCCACTCCAGTATTCTTGCCTGGAGAATTCCTTGGACAGAGAAGCCTGGCAGGCTACAGTCTATGGGTTCGCAAAGGGTCAGACATGACTGAACTGACTAACACTTTCTGAAAAACATGTGGGATCAAATTAGAGAGTTTGATTGTATATGAGGGTATTGGAATTAGGGTGGTGCTGATTGAATTGAAATTGGAGTGAGACATAGAATTCAGTGTGTTTCATTTAAAGGTTGAATCCTTCAAGGAAAACATTTTCTGGGTTGTAGTGTGACATCATTTGGAGTTAAGATTTTAGACTAGAAGAAAGCAAGCATTTTTTGACTCTTTTTTTCCTCTGAAGAGTAAAGATGAAAAAGATGACATTTTATATCAGAAAGCAAGGTTTTTTTCCCTGATAAAATTCTCATTTATTTATGCTTTTAAAGTACAAGTATTAAATGCATGTAATTTTTCGATTTCTTCATTGGGGTTATGCATTTCTATTATTAAAGGGATTGAAATCTTTTTACCATTTCACTTTATAATTGATTATTAACTGGTGTATATGATCTATGGATTTTGAATGCTAATCAGTATCTAGAAACTTGATTGAACTCTTTATTTCTAATAATTTGTCTAACAAAGAAAATTACTGATTGGATTTTGATTAGAATGTTTCAAATGTCTACCCATTAAGGATAATGCTAGATAAGAATGTATACATTTGTGTTCTGTACTTTTTGTGCCTGCTTTTGTCTGCACAAGCACTCTTTCTATTCATGGTAGACGTTCTCTGTGTTCCCTAGTTTACCATAGGATGATTTGCAATTTGCTTGTACTTTTCTATTTGTTCTTCACGTTCATGGTTTTACACTTTCAATGGTCTGTGGATTGCGTTTTGGTTTCAGTCATCTTTTCTATTGGGTGTATGTTTTCTTTTGCAAATGTTTCAGCTTATCTCTTTGTTTTCCTCTCCCTAATTTGTTTCAGGTTAAACCATCTGATTTCTTGAATTGAGTGCTTACCTCATTATTTTCATACTTGCTTAACTTCCTTTTAGTTCAGGTAGATATTTCTCTTTTTCTGGGATCTCAGTACTCTGACCAGTGGTTGAAACCGTCCCCCCCTGCATTGGAAACCAGGAATCTTAACTGCTGCACCATCTGGGAAGTCTTATTTACTTTTTTTGGTAAGAATATTTACTCCTACTCTTCTAGAAAATTTCAATCATATATTACAGTGTTATCAACTATACTCGCATGTTTTACATTCGATCCTCAGACTTTATTTTTGTACACCTTTACCGTCCCTTCCCTGCCCCCTTCCCAACTGCTTTTCTACTCTGGTTCCATAAGATTTACTTTTTAAAAGTCCACATATAATTGATGCCATGCCATATTGTCTTTTTCTGCCTTATTTCACTTGGAATAATACCCTCCAAATTCACCCATGTTGTTGCAGATGACAAAATTTCATTTTTTTGTGTGTTGCTGAGTAGTATTCCATTATATATATATCATTTTTTATATGTATTTATACACACACACACACACATACACCACATCTGTATCCATTCAGTCACTGATGGACACTTTGGTTGTTTGCATATCTTAGCTATTGTAACTAATATATCAAAAATGTGGGAGTACAGCTATCTCTTTGATATTCTGTTTTTATTTCCTTTGGATATATACCCAGAAATGAGATTGCTGGATCATATGATAGTCCTATTTAAAATTTTTGAGGAAACTCCATAGCTTTCCATAGTAGGGCATTATGTGTGCGCGCTAAGTTGCTTCAGTCGTGTCTGACTCTTTGTGACCCCATGGACTGCAGCCCGCCAGGCTCCTCTGTCCATGGGATTCTCCAGGTAAGAATATTGGAGTGGGTTGCCATGCCCTCCTCCAGGGGATCAAATGGGAAGGAGTCTCTTGTGTCTCCTGTATTGATGGGCGATTCTTTACCGCTAGCAGCACCTGGGGAGCCCAGCAGGCACCACAGCTGCACCAATTTACATTCCTACCAAAAAGTGTGTGTTTTCCCCCTTAAATTCAAATTTTGAAATTAAGACTGCTATACAATTTTAACTTGAGTTCCTTTTGCCATCTGCTGCTGCTGCTGCTAAGTCGCTTCAGTCGTGTCCGGCTCTGTGTGACCCCAGAGACAGCAGCCCATCAGGCTCCCCCGTCCCTGGGATTCTCCAGGCGAGAACACTGGAGTGGGTTGCCATTGCCTTCTCCAATGCAGGAAAGTGAAAAGTGAAAGTGAAGTCGCTCAGTTGTGCCCGACTCTTAGCGACCCCATGGACTGCAGCCTACCAGGCTTCTCCATCCATGGGATTTTCCAGGCAAGAGTACTGGAGTGCGTTGCCATTGCCTTCTCCATCTACTTATCTTCAAATATCCTGTATTTTCTTTAGGCTTGGCTTTGAAACTTCCATGAAGACACTTTACCATCGTGAGCTGAGAAACTGCCAGGCACTCAAGCCTGTGAATCCGAGGCGGCCTCCGAGGCACTTACACCCTCAACCAAAGAAAGTCACAGAGCTGCAGGCCGAAGCAGGACTTGGTTCAGGGAGCCTTCCCCTCCGGGAAACACCCTCTCTCCTTGGGCTACAGAATACAGACGAGGGTGGTTTGTCCTTCTACGGGATCAACAAGCTGGAAAAGATACCGCCCCATTGGCTTAAAGGTTCTAGTCCGGGTCACTGCCCCTCAGACACAGCAAAGCCGAGCGCCGGACTGGGGGCCGGAGCGCCCTGCGGAGCTGCGCCCCGCGGGTGGCGCCGCGCCCCGCGTTCTGCTGGGCCCGCGGCTTCGGCTTCGGGCCGCCGCACCCGCCGCGGGGCTCCTGAGCGCCCCAGGTCTCCGCGCCTCTCGGGGGCAACACGTTCTTCCTCTGCCCCCCAGTCCGCGGAGGCCGCCCCCGCCTGCAGCTCCCCGCAGCAGGGCCTGACTCCACTGCCGACCCCAAGCCCACCCGGCAGGGATCGCCCCGGAAATGGCAGGCGCGGGTCTCATCAGTGTCCTCGGGAAGAGGGGCCCAGGGAAGCTGCGGTCCGGGCCCAGGTTAGGAGGGGCCTCTCCTCAGACACGGCGCACGCATCTCTGGAGCTCGAAGCTCAGGTCCTGTTTGCGGACGCCCCTTCGATGGACAGCCCTGCCCTGCTGAGCCCTCGACTCCAGCATCCTGCTAAGGCTTCCGGATGCTGCTGTGCTCCTGATCTTCAACCTTTGGGTCCCCCTTTGGATCCTGGAAATCCAATGCACCCCGGCCCGTGCCTGCGATCTCTGGAGGGTATTGCAGCCGGTGTCCTTGACGGCGCCCCCTTGATTCCTCCCAACGTCAGTGAGACTCTGACCGCGTTCCCCAGAGACGCTGCTAGGAACTGCAGGGCCCCCATGAACTTGTGTGAGGTGGTAAGGTTGGACCACTCTTATGCCTCTAAGAGTCTGACAACAGTTGCAGAGACCAGAGTCTCCAGCACCCTTGACTGGGATCCCCTGGGGCTAAAGCTAGAGGCACTTGCATCTCTTGAGTCCTGGGAGGAGTTCTTCACCAATGGATGGTCTTCAATCTGTGAGCCCATGACTACTGAAGAATTTGCCAAATGTGACTCTCGGGGATGTTTTTTAACTTTGTGTCTGTCTGGTTAGTTGCTCAATCCTGTCCAACTCTTTGTGACCTCATGGACTGTAGCCCACCAGGCTCCTCTGTCCATGGAATTTTCCAGGCCAGGATACTGGAGTGGGTTGCTATTCCCTTCTCCAATGGATCTTCCTGACCCAGGAATTGAACCCAGGCCTCCTGCATCACAGACAGATTCTTTACTGTCTGAACCACCAGGGAAGCCCTTTGTAACTATATTGATATTTGTTAAAGCTGTTATCCTGATGTATATCCACAAAACAAAGAAAAGTAAAATCCTTAAAATATATTTTTTAATTCAGCATTATCTCCTAAAGGAAAGTGACCTGTCAATAATTAGTCCACTCTTTTGCCTAGTATAACTTCCTTATTTCCACTCCCTTCTGCCTATATTTTTTATTTTGTACAGCTTCTTGGTGCTTTCTGCTAGACTGAATGCTGCCAAGTTTGAATTGTATTTTGCGTAAGTAAACTCTTCACATTTTTAATATGCCTCAGTTTATCTTTCAACAACCTAAAACAAAGTAATCCAGAAAAGTTAAAGTAAATGACTCAACAAAATTATACTAAGAAAAATACAAACAGAAAGCAGAAGTCATGAATCTTAGTATCAGACAAAGTAGAATTGAATCTCAAAGGAATATGAAAGGGCTCTAAAGGCTACATCTCACCATAAAGGTATAACAGTCATGAATGCCCATCCAACTTTGATAAGGTTTAAATTATAGAACATCAAACAAGTTGGAAGAAAGATTAAAAATAGGAGAATTTAAATTACCTAATGTGATATTTTGATTTATCATATGAAATATATGTTTGGGCCTCATCTCAGTTTCTGATTGATAGCTCCTAAAACCCTTGGAATTTCCTAAGTAAATAGTTACATTTTATGATTTGGTTACCTTACTGTGGTAGCTTAACTAGGGTAGTTAAACAGCCCCTAGGTCACTTAAGGATGGGGGCTGGTTGCTAGGGGACCAACCCTGCAATTAGAGGATTGCAGTTTTTCAGCCCCACCCTAGACTTTCAAGGAGGAGGAGGGGCTGGAAGTTGAGCCAATCACCAATGGCCAATCACTTAATCAATCATGCATATGTAATAAAACCTCCATAACCCCCTCAAAAAGGACAAAGTTTGGGGAGCTGCTGGGTCAGTAAACCTTTAGAGAATTGAGGACAGTATTGCACCTAGAGAGGGCCTTGAACCCTGTTTCACCTTACGGGCGTTGTGCAAGAGAGGAAAAAAATGGACAGACTTAACGATGTAGAAAACTGCAACAGCATTAACCATAAGGTAGAATTTATGTATCTGATAATAGAGGACTCACTTTTGTCAATGCAAAAGGATCAATAACAAAAATTGACAATATATTTAGGTGAATAGAAAATACTAATAAATTCTGAAGTAAGAAAGAAGGTCAAACTAATTATCACACAATAAAACTAGAAATTAACTCTAAAAATCAGGAAAGACAGAGATCTTTCCTGGAAAGTTAAAATTTCTCAACTAAAAGACCTGTAGGTTAGAGGGATATAAACCACAATAGTTAAATTCCCTGGAGACAAGGACATAGAATAAATATTTGTTAACTGTATAAATGGGCTTCCCTGGTAACTCAGCTGGTAAAGAACTGGGCTTCCCTGGTAGCTCAGCCAGTAAAGAATCTGCCTGCATGTGGGAGACATGGGTTCAGTCTCTGGGTTGGGAAGATCCCCTGGAGGAGGGCATGGCAATCCACTCCAGTATTCTTGCCTGAAGAATCCCTACGGACAGAGGAGCCTGGAGGGCTGCAGTCCCTGGGGTTGCAGAGTCACATGACTGGGCAACTAAGCACAGCACATAGCAACTATATAAACTCTGGAACCAGACTGCCTGATTTTGAATCCCAGCTTCCCTCTTACCAGTTTGTATGACTGACCTTGCTGAATTATTTAACTTCATGCTGAGTCAGTTTCTTCACTTGTAAAATGAGATAGTAATAGTACTTCCCTGATACGATTCTATGAATCAGTATTTGTAAGTTCCACGATGGATGCCTGGGACATAATAAGGATGACTGGAGTGTTTTTAGATATAAAAATGAATGAAATACATAAGAATATAAGAGATTCAATTGAAATAGTAATGGGGAAAATTTACAACTTTAAATTTTTTAATCAATAAAATTAAAAGAATGCAATTAAATTGACTTTGCTCCTGTCTCAAAGTCAGGGGAAAACAAGCAGAAAGAAAGTAGCTGGAAGGAATAAATAAATATATATGCAGAAATAAATGAATTAGAAAAATTGTAATACAATAACTAAATCAACAAAAAGCTCAACTGGATACTTTTTAAGGATAAATTAATGAACTAAAACAGATTTCAGAAGAGATAGAAAACCTAAGATATAAATTTCCAAGTAAGACATGCAGAAAGATGTCAAAAGATATGCCTCTTCAAAAATCACTACTATTAGGTAGTTTCATGGGGGAAGTGTGTGAAACCTTTAACCCACGGATCTTCTCAAACCAATACAGGCATTCAAAAAGAAGAAAAAATTCAAAGTTTTAAAGTAAGCATAATATTGATAGAAAAACCTGACAAGTTATGTAATGAAAGTAATAGACAAACATTATTTGTGAATATCGATGTTAAAGTTTTAAAATTAAAACTAGCTGTACTGTGCTCAATTGCTTCAGTCATTTCCGACCCTTTGTGGCCCCATGGACCATAGCCCACCAGGCTCCTCTGTCCATGAGGATTCTCCAGGCAAGAATAATGGAGTGGGTCTCCATGCCGTCCTCCAGGGGATCTTCCTGACCCAGGGATCGAACCAGCCTCTCCTGCCTTGCAGGCAGATTCTTTATCACTGAGCCACCGCCAAAGCTCTAAAATTAGATAAAAATGAAAGTGAAAGTCACTCAGTCATATCTGACTCTTTGTGACCCCATAGACTGTAGCCCACCAGGCTCCTCTGTCCATAGAATTCTCTAGGCCAGAATACTGGGGTGGGTAGCCATTCCCTTCTCCAAGGGATCTTCCCAACTCAGCGACTGAACTCAAGTCTCCTGCATTGCAGGCAGATTCTTTACCGGCCGAGCCACCAGGTTTTAAATTAAAATTAGCTCAGTTGTGTCCAACTCTTTGCAACCCAATGGACATTAGCCCACCAGGTTCCTTTGTCCATGGGATTTTTCAGGCAAGAATACTGGAGTGGGTTGTCATTTCCTCCTCCAGGGGATCTTTCTGACCCCATGTTGAACCCATGTCTCCTGTGAGGCCTGCATTGGCAGGCTCATTCTTTACCACTTCAACACCTGAGAAGCCACTATTTAGAGAATAACAATGATTAAATGTTTATTGCAGGGAAACAATGATGGTTTAAAATAAGGAAACCTGGTAATATGACTAATAGTTCCAAGAAGGAACGTTATATGATCACTTTCATAAATTCAAATGGACATATGACAGAATTCAACACTCAGTTCTGTTCAAGACATGGCCCCAGTGGATATTTCCTTAAACTGAAAACATCTCCTCTATTTATCTAGTTAAATATTTTATCTCCAAAGCCAGCATTTTGGTTAAGCGGAAATAACTGAGACATTTCCGCCAGTAATTAGAATTGGAGGTATTAACCAATGCAAAATATTAGAGTTATAAGTTATGGGAAGGAAGAAACAATATTTCCTTTTATTAAAATTGGTATGAAAACCTTGGTTCCCGGAAAACTCAAGAAAGTGGCTACTTACACCTACCTTTTTTTCTCCTACTCTTGACCCTAGCAGGGCTCATTGCTGCCTAGATTTTACTTCTTGGGACTTTTTACCAATGGTGAAGGGTATTTCTGCATGGAAGAGGCAGACATTAGTCTTCCTAAATCAAGAGGGTGACGGGATTGAACCAGAACTGAGAACTTTTTTGTCCATCTAAAATGAGTAAAAATAAAAGGAAAGAAGGGCCAGACATTCAGAGAGTCTCATTTGGGTAAGTCGTTGGGCACTACTGTGTGCAAAAAGGTAGTCAGAGTTGGTTCAAGAGTAGGATTCCTGAAGTCAAAGTTTCAGAAAAGATCAGGTGACAAGGGTGACTTAGTTGGGGTGAGGAGGATAATCATTTACGGAAGGAGAGGAGGTAAAAAAACAGAGGTCACCTTGCCGAACAACGTAAGAAACGTCTATAGAGAACATCCATGTTTTTCTGGCTTGTGTCAATGGTCACCCATACACAGTCACTGCTTCAAACTTTCTACCTTTCCTGGAACTTCCGTTTTATCACTTCTTTCTCTTTGGGCAGGCAATAATGACTCCTACTGACCGGGCAAGACTCCCTCATTGTCCCACTCCTCCCTGATCTTGGGTAGTACACTATCGATATAATATTATTTCACTGAGCACCGACAATATGCCGGGCACCACACGAAGCCTCAAGATCAGCACAATGAAGAAACTCACTCTATGAAGCAGAAACTACTAATATTCTCTTTAAAGAGATGAAGATATAGAATATAGCAAAATTGAATAAAATACTTAAGGTCACCATGTAGTAAATTTTGGGCTGAATATTCAAATCTACCTTATTGATTAAGGCTAATTCCACATTTGAATTATCGTCCCTAAGGAAATAAACCTCTTTTCAGGGAGGTCTAAGTCTTGATTGATTCTTATATTCCCCGTTGAGCCTGTTGTGTTACCTTAAGCATAGTAGTCACTCGATTAATATTTATTTGAATAAATGATTACGTTAAATCATCTAGCTAACATTTCTTATCTTTTTCTCTCCTTACTAAAC